CATACGCTGCGAATGCAAGAATATGTGGCGACTACTAGCATAAGGGTTGAAAATGGCGTCCACCTTCAACAACTACCTCAGCTCCGAGTTCCTCAAAAATGTTACTGACAACAGAAGCGACACTATCTACAGACCATCTGGAAAGTTTGATTAGGAGCTGTCTACTTAACCCATATGCAGATGCTAGATGAATTGAATCCAGATGGATATAGATGACCAGCATTGAAATGTAAACAAAGTGGCAAGGAGGAATGAATGCGAACACTTTATCCCCAGAAATTATTTTTTAACCCCTTCCTTTATTATATACCTCTACTCTTAGGTTAGTATTTTAAATGCGTGTTGGCCCCAGTGCAGTTCCCACGTAGGACGAGACTCCAGACCCAGTGACACTGCCAAGAGGGATAGGTCACATGAAAATTTGATGAATGACACTTCTGGTTTGTGGGTGTTTTCTTACAGTACAATTACTTTGTGATGACTGAGGCGGGAGGTTGATCATGGGGAGGGGTGTTGACGACGCTCAAAAGAGAAGGGGGCTATGTAATGCTTTAATTGTCTGTTTAACATTCAGTCTTGGTAATGGATTACTTCGAGGCTCACCACTGTACCTGAGCCGGGCGGCTTGTCCTCCAGGCCATGCCGAAAGCTCCTAAGATCTTCCGTACTCCAACGATATATATTATGCCCGTAATCGTCTTTAGAAATATCTCGATGAGCTGCAGTAAATTACTTTAAAATATTCTTTTCAAAGAAATGCAAAACAAATTCCTGTAAAGTTGCCAAAAGTTATTTACAATAGTATCACTGAATAATTAAAAGCAACGCAATATTTTGTAGTCGCAATGACCCAATAATTCGCATTTAATGCTTTTGTATCGAATTCGCCGTAAGCGTTCTAAAATAACAAATTGGCGAAAGAAGAGGTAACAATTTATGACACGGTTTAAGGCCCTCCTTTGAGCAGACTGTTTTAAATTTGTAGCGGATGATTTAATCTAGTGATAAAGCCACTTCACACACTCATTTATGATTAGCGGGCGGGCAAGTTCGTGGGATCGAAAGGCAACTCAAATCCACCAAATGGGAAAAAAATTGTGCATTCTAAACTTGCTTCCTGTGCTCAGGCAATGTTGGTGCTTGAGAGAACAACTTTTGCCCATTTTTTTTCAATTGGCTGTCATCTCACTTTGGCGGATGTTTTGACATGCGCCAACCTCTGTGCATTCAAAGATTCCGTATGCAGTACCTGTAGAGGAAATCACGCTAATTTTGACATCAAGTTTATCCTCCTGATCGTGATATTTTCATGGGGTGTAATTCATTTGTTTGTTAATCACTTTGGCAATGACCGTAAAACTTGAAGCAGGTGGTTGGAAATTAGTATGGTGCCCTGTCGATTAAAAAACGGTGTGGTTTAGCCTCCTTCTTTCTAACACCCTTATGAGCTGACAAGTTGAGCCAAGTCCTGGGAGATAATTAAACTTTCTCTCCTCTGGTGCTTTCGAAGCAGCAGCCGTAGGAGTTTCTTTCGAATCAGCTCTTCTTTCAGTATCTGTATTCAGTTAATAATAAAGCTACTGATAAATCTAAGTGCTTTGGGTGATCTTTAGGGACAAATCAAAGGCTATAGATCATTTTCCGCTTCCCTGATATCCGTCTGCAGAAAAAAGGCTGCTTCAATATATAAAACTATAAGGCTTCTCCGAATGTTTGAAGGCTAGATAGTCAGTCTACTCATTAATTCAACCGAATTATCAAATGACTGATTGGAAGATATTGTTCTCATGCCGCAACAGCATGGGTATGCATCAATGAAAACAGTATTTTTTTAGTTTGGAATCAGTAAATTCATGGATAAGAGTCGAGTTAACTCCCAATTCAATTTGCCAAACGCAGGAAATCATTTCATTCTTAATTAACTGCCAATCAACTTTCAAGAGATCAAAATTTTTTTAGTTAAGGCTCCTCATGTAACACGTCAAAAAAATTTAAACTATCCGAAAGAATTCTACAAGAATGAGGAAGGTATTTTACTGGTTAGCTTACTTATTTAAAAGGCCATTCTAAGGTAAGGCGTCTAATTCAATAACAAGGTAGTATGTACTAACCAGTCCCAATTGTTAGGATCCTATTCCAGTCAAACTACAAACACCAAACTTACAGTAAAATAGGATGATAGTTGGAACGAAGTGGAGTCTGTCTCCCATTCAAACGGCAGAATAGAATAGTGGCCAAACCGACACGGTAGGGTTACGTGATCTGGCGGAGGGTTTTCCTATCACATGGAACATATCTCAACGTTGTTTTTATTTTGCCCGCATTTGCTCATGCGCACTCTCCCACAGATTGCCACATATTTCCCATTTCTCGTTTAGAGGTTAAAACTTGTATTTTTTTTCCTTCAAAAACGCCACGGGTAAACCACGGGAAAGAGGTAGACTGACACCTATTAAATGAAATACATCGTGACCTTTGTAATTGTTTACCCAAGTAAAGTGAGAAGTAGCAAAGTTTATGCATAGGAGAATGCAATTATGATTTCATAAAAGAAAGAGATACTTGATTGATTTATGCAGCTTTAGTTGTGCTACATTCTCCCTAAAGTTTAATCCGGCATTCCAGTGCAGATTGAACAAGCGATAATTCTCGAAATCTTCGATGGATGTTCTTTCGATGCCAACACACTTTCCTTTGAAATGAGAGTTTTAATGATTGCTCTCCTTGAAACTGAATTATTTGCTCCCTTTATTTTTGACTGCTTAAAGTATAAAATTATGTTCTATTACATGTAACACAGAGAAAGTAGTAAGTGACACGATTTGGGTGGCTAAAAATATTGCTAGGTAGGTATAAACTTCGGGTTTGAAAAGAAATTCTAACAGTAGTTTAAAAACGCCACTGTAATACTTATGCTGTTAAAATACTCCTTTTAGAGAGGAGACGAATCCAACCTCGAGTCTGAGGAGTGGTTAACATCTCTCAAGCCAGAAAAATTCTTGTGCTCAAATCTTCCTAGCCTTGTACCCATGCCCCATTTACTCCAAGAAATAAATATGTCAAAACCGAATAAGCCTGGGTGTTCCAAGGGTACGAAGGCTAGGACAGAGGAGATAAAAGAGCCTCGTCCTACAATCCCATAATTGAAAAATCATTTAATCCAAGTTTACCTAACGCTTGCTTGCTTAAATATTTGCCAGCTTGTATTTAAAAGTGATATTTAAAGGAGCAATTGGTCACGTTTGACATTATTCGTGCCAAGTAAAACCAGAATTTGTCAGCTTAAGTACACAAAAAAATCTATTAAACAAGTCAATATTCATTAATGGCGATTTGATCTACCAATTCCAACGCTAACAGCTAAAATTAGCGCTAAGTGTGCTAAACAACTATCGCCCCAATCAACCTTTTATCCACAAAAGTGTTTAATTTAAATTTCTTGTGCATAAGTTACAGCCTGCTTCATTTGCTTTTCCACATTTGTAATCGTTCCATACTGAGTGGATCGCAATTCAAACCCTAACAAACATTGCAAATACAGAACCCAATAAAGCATTTGTTTAGACTATTTAATGTTCGTTTTTTTATAAGAGGATGAGCTAAGAATATAGTAGGGGTGCGATTTCTAATCTACACTGTTGTTAAAATATTCATGTCATTGACCTTGACTCTCCGCTGTATTGAAAATTGTAGCCAAATGAGTCACGAAATTGAACCTGTGAACTGCCATGAATTTAATGCTTCACAAGATCCTGAATGCGTGTTTAACGCCACTTACTCTTATACACCGCTCGATCGCTCCCAGTCGTCCAGTAATATAGAGGGGCAAATAAAAATAAAAAGAAGTCCAAGTTATATTTTTGATCTTGATGACAGTTTTGAGCATTTGGACAATGCAGAGTCACTGTTTGGTTTTGTAGAAACAACTTCAATGCCAAACCTCAGTTATCTTGGTTCTGATGAGGCTAGAAGCCCAACCGTAGACCCTCCCCGGTGTATGTCTGCAGTCCCCGACTTTTTTCATGAATCATTTGATGATGTAGAAGCAGTAAACTATGTCAACCTTTCGTCATTTATAAAAAATCAAGATGAGGTTTATCAATCATTGCTGAAAAAGAAGCCTGGAGACACCGAAGACAATCATTCGATAGATGCAACATCTAAAGTATTTTCTGGATCTGGACCACTGACACGTACTTTAATGGAATTTACCGAGAACGAAACTAACACAAAATCAGCTGCACATTATTCTGCGGTTGCTTCAACAACGCATATGGCCAGCCAAGAGAATAAGATCGGCGCATTTTGCCAAAGTAACCCTTGCGACATTGAAATGGAACTCCTTGTCTTGCCCATGGTGGATGATTTCTCTAAAGTAGAAATGCGTATACCTTCCGCATCTCTTTCGACAGAGAAGAAGAAGGCTCTAAGAAGGGTATGAGTTATTCAGGGTATTATATGTTTTACACAACAGATTGCTGTTGAGAACGAGCTAACGATTTTGAGTTGCGGGAAAGGAAACTCAAAATGTACTGTACTTCGTAAAAAAAATGCACTAATCCAAAGACAAGCTGCTCAGAGAGAAGCAGAAATAGAGACGGAAAGGCAGAAGCAACGATTGATTGAAGAGGCAAAACGAGCAGCTGATTGTAAGCAAACAATTTACACAAGTAATTTCTTGCTTCATTATTGCTACTTGAATATACATTGGATTTTTAGCCCAAGTTACAAGCGAATCCGCGATTTGCGTTGCTTCCATACAAACAGTACCTAGCAAGATTCAGCCCTTGCCCACTGAGGTAAACATAATTTTGCCTAAAATTTTGGGTTTTTGACGCCTATTTGACCGATTTTTAGTCTTCTGTACAGACCAACAGAGCTGTGGGACGGCAGAATAATAGAAGACAGGGCAAGGAGATAATGTCATGTACTACAGAGGCTTCAATGAATTCTGCAGCGAGGCGCAAAGCACGACGAGCTGCGGAACGAGAACAGGCCAAAAAGGCAGCAGCTGAATTACGGAAGAGAGAGAGAAGGAGAAGAGAAACTGCTATGCAGACATGTCCACAGGACTGGATTATTTGCCCATGGTGCAGACAGGTCAGTTTTAGAGCCTAAGGTGTGGAAGATTTCAATCTTGTAAGTTACTAAGTTCTCAATATTTCGGTCTATAAGTAGCTTTAGTTTAGAAGTTAATTTTTTTGCTCCAATTTTACTAAATTATTTTATTCTACCCATATTTTATGGAAGTTATGCCTTTCCTTCCCAATTTGCTTTATTCATCGACTTATGGTTTAAAAAAGACGTCTTTCTAATGCAACAAAGGGATTATAAATTAGTGATATCAGTGAGTAAGGGTTTACCCAGTGAACACAAAAGTTATCTTGATTTTGTATTCTGGCAAGTTTATTTCTGGTTAACTTAGTGCTCCGAAATTTGAATAGATAAATACTGGTCCAACGTTTCTGTAGTGAAAGTGAATACTTTCATTAAAGATAGGCTGTGGTGTAATTTGTTTTTTATGAACAGTTAAAGAATTTGGATGATGACTCCTGCATTGCTTGTCTGTTTTCCTCTAAACCTCATTGCTGAGTTAAAATTAGGGATATTTTCATCCTATTCCTTGTTACCAGACAGTAAAGCCTTCCATAAGATCAGGTAAGTTACATAGACAGTGCTTCGAAGGAGTCGTATATATCTTAACACCGTCCGTTTACTGGTCCTGCTCAAGTGTTATAGAAGAATAGAGTTTCACTTTAGCCAAAAGGTCTTCAGAAAGGGAAAGCTAGCTAACGGTTACTCACAGAGAATGGAATAATTGTGATTGAAGACGGGACTTAAGGTAATCGGCTCGACTGTGTTGCCTCTCTCTCCCATCCTAGTAGATAATTATTTTACGGCAAAGCTGCTGTCGATCATACTTTGCTTGCAGATTTTGACTAATTGCAATTTTTAATTACTTTATTGAATCATAAAATAGTGCTTTTTTCCCAAACCGCACAAGTTGTATTTTATGATCGAGTTCAGGCAAATGTGTGCATGTATACAGGTTGAGTTAGAGTAGCAGTTAATTCGGGAAATTCCGGAATCAGAATTGCAACAATTATAGGTAAAATGGGCCTAAAAATTAGACTTCCCTACCCTGTTAAATTCAGGACATCCCACCGGCGGAGCAATGCGGGCACATAGGGCTGTGCAGGGCCGCCTACCGTCAACAGAATCGAGAGGCGAAGGCAAAGGCGCAGTTACAAAACTACCGAATTGCCGCGGAGAATGCACGACGTCGGAAACAAAATTTGCCTCCCCTTAACCCCGGTTCGCATGTTACCGGTGCCCAGGGGCAGGAACGGGAACGAAATCATAGTGGGAGTGATTCAAGACGACGATCCAGTCATTCACGAACGAGATCGGTAAGCTAAATTTCCCGCAAACATTTAACCTCAGCGATGCCCTTGATTAGGCTTGACATCTGTCATTGCTGTCATTTTTATAAAATACATGGAGTTCTACTAGGCCCACGGAAAAAATAAATGTTGAGAATTGTCTCAGGTATGAATTCCCTAAAAAATTTGGGAATATGAAAAGGGGTTTGATAATTGCATGCATCCAACTAACACTATGGCAAAGAAGTCAAATTCGTTCTCTGGATCAAACACCCTGTATTTTAAGAAAGCATTCTTGCCTGCTTCTGACCATAGCTGTGGGTCTCGTATTCCTCAACTCAAGTATATCAATCCACTCACAAAAACCATTAATTCAGGAGGCCCCTATTTCACCATGCTTGCGCTCAAGTTGGCGAAAACAGTTGCAGTGGCAACTGAAACGCGCGGATAGCCATTGCGAGCAAGTGGCACAACCAATGCAAAAGCAGCTTTCCTGGTCTGCGTTAATTTTAACATCACATGAATGTGTTCGCGTCTAGATGTGCGTATGAGCAATTCTGCATGACTGTGCACGCACACAACAACCTTTGACTTATCGTGTCGTCATAGCAATGACCTCATCCGAGTACTTTTTATCCCCTATATTTAAACACTGATTAATTTGTTGTAGAATATCCGTTTCCTGTGGTTCAAGCTGGTTTATGGTTTATAGTGTCTAACTTCAAACGCTGTTTGCCCCAGTTAAATTTATTGGATTTAATTGTGACTTTTAAAGTTGCAAAAGTGATCAAATTGTTTCATTTACTCTTTTGCTGTTTTCCAAAACTTAATAAGCCATGAGAACAGAAGGGGTAACATCTACTTACAAGTTAACAGTAAGCAATGCTTTAAACCCTTTTGAAGGCGGATGGCAATTTGGCAGCAGCACTGAAGAGGCAAGCAGTGATCGCAGCCCAGCTGAAGGAGATTCATCCAAACGACGTAGACGGAATGATCTGCGCGACACAACGTGTTTGTGCACTACTAAACTGTGCTCGCATAATCACCTCTTCCGCCGGTGGTCCCTGTGCTTACTGCCGGATGATCCTTTGTGCCCAGCACCGACCACCAAACACTGGACACCACTGTCCCACCGCTCCTAAACCTCGGACAAAAAGGGCACTGTCTAATGGGCAGATTGAAGTGGGATGCGGAGTTGAGGCGGCGGAAAGACAAGCGGCTTTGAAAAAGCGCATGCGGGACAAATTAATCGTTATGGCGGAAAGGAGGAGACGCTGAAATTCGGGAAGAGATTTTAATATTTCACCTACAAATGCAATTGTATTTTGACCATTTTTACAATGGAATTCGTTTTGCTTCAGTGCATATTTACTAATGCGCACTCGTAGTGCGAACGGTCGATGGCACTTCCACATGGTTCAAGATTGCGAAAGGCGCTACCTCGAAGTAAATACCGCTGATTTGTGTTTGAATAAACAATTTTAAGCTACTAATGTTTAAAATTAGTTTTTAGACTACCAGTTTCGCCATCTTTGGCAAAAATAATAAGTCAACTTCTTTGCACTTACAATGTGAAGAATGGAGTTGCTCTAACCTAGCCTACATTTTATCTCACTCCCATCAAAATCTGTACACTCACATCAATTTCAGCCAACTCGCATCATCAATGCAGCTCTGTTATTGTTATATTTGAGCGATATCAGTACATTTTTATTTCCGGTCCAAAAATGCCTCCGTTTCAGTAACGCTGTAGAAAAATCCAAAATTTTCACCCAATAGACGTTAGTTACCATGACAGCAAAATATGTTGGTAAACAGTCGTATGAGCTACAGCGTTCAGGGATGATCCGACTACTTTTGTATCATAATTAACTAAGGGAATTTATTTTCACTTTAATTTTTCATAAAGCCCATGTTTCAGCATGTCGAATAGCATATCATGCATTGGAGTTATTAATATTCAAATCCATCTTCAATCATTAATCCAGCGGAAATACTCTAAAGCACCTTCATGAGATTGACAATATTTCCATGCACTAAATCCAGTAAAAATGGTCCTTTGTGCTTATTTACCTAAATAAATGTCACTAAATTGAACAGTAGGCATTTGGACAGTCGCCGATGGGGCTCAAATCAGAAAAGGAAATTACAAGAGGTAGTATAATGGTGTCCATTTGCATTCTAAGGAAAATTTTACAAAATTTTTCATCCACCCTTAGAGTTGGCATTAATGTTGATAAAATAGGGGGCGAAATGAATTGCCTCCTTAAATGCAGAGTTGGGAAATTTTATTGCTAATACATCTAAATGCTGTGGTAACCATACTTTAGGTACTTAAGCACTGTACTAAGACATAAAATTACAGTGACATTAAGCGCCTGCGAGAGAAATTTTTCCAATGGTCCTCCATAAGAAAATATTGCTGAGTTTGGAATACTTCAACTGTTTGTTCAACTTCGGGATGTTGGTTACAAGGATATCTGTCGGCATGGCCTTCTGGGCATGCCGGTATGGACTCAGCCCTTCTTTATGTTAGCATTACGTCTTTCTATTTAATCACTGGCGTCTTTTATCTTCAGGAAAGCCCCGGGGAGCTACATTGGTGTTGGAAAAAGTAAAACCGACCCTAAGGTATAACTATCCTCATTTTAACTGATAAATGCTAACCATTAAGGTGCTACAGGTATGACAATCTGAGACTACTCCCAACAAAGGGCTAAAAATTTGTCTTTCATCCTCAGACTCGTGCTCTGTAGGCATGGTATTAACACCTGAGGCTACACTAGCCATGGATGCAAACCATCTAGTATATTTCGATACAGCGCCGTCTAAAGGTGCCTATGTGTAGATCTCGGTAAGATGAACGCGCCATACCTCCTTTACCTCTGGAATAGCCGGATAGAACCCAAATGGATATGGCTGGACAGTGACCAAAGTGGAAAGAAAAAACAGACGCGAAACCTTATTTCAAGAAACTAATCATATCCCGTTCTTTTTAAATTACTGCATTTGGGCCAGTATTCTTACGACTAGAGATTGGCATACGTGATGACCTGCACATACTCACTTTTCTCAATACAGTACCCAGATATGGGCAAAACTCCAAATCTAGTAGTTTTGCTTTGAGGGATCGGTGTTGTTGCGGTCGAGTGTCGTCTTAGCTGCGCGCAAATCCGAATACTGGCACTTTTAATTCATGACTGCTATTCCTTAAAGCAACAACTCCGTTGTAATGGCTGCCGCAGACGGTTGACTAAGGGGAGTGACAAGCACGAAGCTTTAAGCAAGGGAGGGTCTACATAGTGCTCGGGTTGTTTTTTGACTAAAGGTTCCAGGATAGTATTCCGCTGGGCAGCACGGTCTTTGGGTCATGCCAGCAGTCCCCAGCTCTTCTAATCATTGATAATGCACATACTGCCCCAGGATGGTAAGGTCAGTCGTCTTTCGGGAAGTCTTGGGATTCAGCAATCTTCACCACTTATGAATTTTTATGATATTTTTCACTTTGATGTGCAAGACACATTGATCCATAAGAATCCTTGCTCAAAATTTAACAAAAAGGACATACCATATCAATCGGATGTGTTACGAAAATATGAAGAACATTTCCAAATTCAGTAAATCACTGCACTTCTAAAAATACTATTTTTCATCACAAATCTTACTTATGAGCCGAGGCCTCCTCTTATAATTTACTGGTTGATGGCAAGCATATGGCATCTCTTTTGATCTGAGGTGTAATATAGGAAGGTGTTGAATAATGGCATCATATGAAATAATCAAAATGATAAAAAAATGGATTACACATCTAGTTTTATAAGTATTAACCCTTGGATGTGGGAAAAGTTGGGATAATGTGATAATAAAGCATGAAGTTGACCAAAGATTGAAATACGCAGTTGACAGCCTTGACACAGACCACGTGGAGCAAATCGATTTGGCGCCGAAGCATGGAGCACTGCAGGAGTGTCACGAGATTCCAGCGCACGAATCGATACTTTTCCCCCGTGCCAAAGGAGACGGCCCTTTTCAGGCTCTTACGATCCCCTCATCCACCATTACACAGACCGCAGGATGGCCAAACTCTCACCTGACGTCATAAACATCTTGTCCATTAGAGCCTACTATGACAACAAGACCGCCACCAACACCACAGAAATGGCCAACCTGCTGAAATACGAGAGCCAGCACTTTCGCTGTAAAGTGCAGATTGAACTGCCTGAATGTATTGCGGATCGATGTTGGAGCATAGGCCTGGTTCAGGCCTGTGATCGTATGTATCTCGAGAACCGCTATGGTCAGAGTGGCAGCTCATTTTGGGAATTTCATCCCCTCAAAAGCGGTCGTCATAAAATGGTTAATGACAGTGATGGACGCCAGTATCCATTCTACAGCCTGACCAGTAGTAAATTTGAGATTCGTCGTGGTGTAGTTTCTGACAGTTTGGTGTCTCTGACCTATGAGGATCATTTCTATCCTACAGTGGCTTGGGAGCTGCCGTATTATGGAGGTGCTAAGCTCACTGATGTGATACGAAAGCAGGATTTTTGGGTCTGGCTAGTTGCGATTAAACGTGCAAGCTCAAGAAGCACCACTACTGACGTGTTCAATGCCAAAAATGACGAAATTTACATTCTCAAAACCATGCGTTGGCGCTATAACCTCCACATGACCTTCGACCCCAATCAGCCAATTGGAAGACGACTTCAAAGGATTTACGACACGCAGGAGGAACAACCAGTTATCTTGGAAACTAATCGACCCTTACCACTCTCCGCACTTAGTCCTCCACATTGTAATGCTGCTCAGTCTTTAATTTGGTACCCAAATAACCCTAGTGACAAACCGAAACTCCTAGTCCCTCCGAAACAGATAATCGTGCCCTGGGACACCTGGACTAATGACATGGCTCCTGGACGTCATCTCACTGTAAAGAAACCAGACCAGTGTAAATTGGTTGGTGAGTGGGCACATGACACGGAAATTGGTGTTGACGTTGGCACGATGTCCGGAGTGGTCAACAGCCGCGGTTGGGGCACCGCCGAAGGTGGCAGTAGTCGACAACGCATGTCTAGTCGTGCACGCGCGTAGAATGTCGTCTCAGCTCTGTCTACTAGTACCATAAACATCACATCGTATCACACTGACATGAAACAACAGGAAAGAAGGGCATCACAAACCTCTTTCTTGCATGTGTTTCTAACACAAAGTGTGAGACAGCCATTGCTCCAGCATACATTACCTCTCACCCTCACTCTCTACGACTACTTTGAGCGCCATCTTTAAGTGGTACGTGTCAATTCCGCCTGAATTGTCAATTTTTTTATTCTTACTCATTAAGAAGTCCACGTGATTGCCTTGGCGCCGAAAAATATCTCGCCCGGCTTTTTAATTTATTTATTAACATTTTGTTTTCCAGTAAATAATTTCATCAGACACTCTCATGCCTACGAAAATGCGCTGTTTTGTCTACCTATTCATAACTGTGGATATGTGCTTTGTTGTGTAAAACTTTTTTTGTTTACTGATCAAATTCCGTGCTTGGTATTTTATTCACTACGGGGATAATTCTTCCGTTTGCGACTGTTACTTTTCTGGGTGATAATACTGCCTCCTGCAAGTCCGTACTATAATTCACTAACTCTACCGAGAATGAATTTTAAACATAGGAAATGTGAAATACACTTTCATTAGCTCATCTATTTTATAAATTACGGTTAATGGGACACAGCTCAGAGCCAAACTATAAATCCCACCAACATGGTATTTAGGTCTAAACAGAGTAGGAAACTTGAGAGTCGGTTGTTTCCTTTGACTCACTTTTCGGATAAGTAGGTTAATCAAATCTTGTACGTTAGAGTTAAAATTGGCAATACAGCAGCAATTCAAGCGACTTTTACCCTTTAATGCAAATAACTTTTTTAACTCTTTTCAACTCTTCTGTTGATAACCAAAATCGCAGTCACTTTTTAACTTGTTCACGAGATTAGGAAGGAGGTCTAAAAACCACCAGCTAGATAAATCACAGTGTCAATTCGCTTTATTAACAAGAATCGGCAGGTCTAAACATTCATCCATTCATTCACTTGGTCGAGAAGTGCTCCATCCTCCCCAGTTCAGGGGTCAAAGCTATAGTAGGCGACCCTACCTCGAAGCTTGTTTCGGGAAGTTCAAAAGGAGTTGTAACCAGTCAGTTGTAACAATACACGAATGGTTGCAAATCAAGCGGTGTTCACAGTAATTCTAGAGCTCTCTCTAACCCATATGAGAGTCAAAACGCAAAACAAGTAAATGTCGGGAGTTTGCCATACTGTTCTGAAAAGGGAAATGTTAAAATGTCAATTTGATAAGTAAATACAAGGTTTGGGACTAAGGTATCCATTACCCTATGGTTGATTTTCTTCGAAAGTTTCTGCTTTATTGTTGGTTTCAAATATTACATGTCTTAATCTTAAATGTCGAAGCGAGGCTTCAAATATGAACGACTTTTGACATCCAGAGGAGGTGGCTCTTACCATAAGTAGTCGATTAGTGAGACAGTAAGCAAGTTTTGTTTTGATACCTTACTATTACTTTTCCTCATAAAAGTTACCACATTTAATCAGAGAATAAGTAGGATGGTATTATCATGATTAGCCGGTGTTGAAATCACAATACTAGTCAAGGTATGTACTTAGCTTTGGGCTCTTCCAGTCGTTGGAAGCACAAATTAGGGACAAAAATTAGGATTACGTAAAACATAAATTCTCCATGATGTTGCTTTAGCCTTGGCAAGAGTGAATAGAAGACCGAAGAGGCCATTAGCAGAGGCGTTGGTACCAAGACTGCGGAATAAAATTGCGAAGACCGAAGGGCTGATGCAAATGCCTTACTTTAAAATACATATTATTCGATTTCGCAAGCACTATCCTTCTTTTGGGTTCCCTCCCGTGTGCTTCCTGTACTTTCTTTCTTGTTTCGATCATCAAAAAGTAGTCGTTTTTTTGGCACGAAGACCATACGAAAAAGAAAATACGTAATACAACAGACAGTCATGACTTCTGTGGAGTTCGATGGGTCCAGAATTGTGTTTTCTTCGAAAGTGTTTCGTAGGAATTCGTTTATTTGGTATTGCTGGACTATCCGATGTTCTAATGCAAATGCACTCTGCATGTCACTTTTTCAAGCTGACTCATTTCCACCACCTTTATTGAAGTCACTCCATCTTGAATGGAAGGAGAGTTAAGTTTTCTAAGACTCATGTACAACCAAGTAAACACTGGAGTCAGCTTCAAATCCTTCACTCCTGACCTCACAACAGTGGCTATGGAGAAAAGCCTGAGGGCAGACTGAATTCCAAAAGTTGATGTGGCTTCGATGACCTTTCTAAGCGGACACCTTTTCTCTGTAAAGTTTAGGCACATCATTTAGCCAACGAAATTGGATGGCTTTCCTCTACCGACATTGAAATGTCTGAATCCACCTTGGATGCTTTGAGATGCATAGGCTTAGATACAAGTCCAATGAGAAATGAAGGAAATTGTTGGTGGCTTTTTGCAAGAAACAACACTAGCAGAATACTATGACACTGAGAAAAGGAGAAGAAACGCAAAACCTTCCTAATAATGAGCCTCTGATATCCAAGCAGCAATGCATCGGAATTTGACTTGTTTGCGAACACTTAGCTTAATAATTTAGTTATGCCAATATTTCATACTACAATCATACTCTTCCTGGAAATTGTCTTTGGATGTTTAGAAGTTTTACTAGAGAAATGAGCAAAAGAAAAAATTTATTCTATAAGGTCAGTTAATGCCAGCGCGCCGCGCCGAGCCCCCTCCGATGCTGTAATAAGGCCGACCGATACGGAAAAAGGATTTGCTCCTAGCCTGCCGTAGGACCGGTCGGACAGAGTTGCGGCTTGCGAAGCGTGAAATGTCCGCCTAGTTGAATATGATTTCACGTAAACTTCAGTTCTTCGGTTCTGACATCCTGAATTGAAGTTTGCTGACAATATCACTTATCTCAAAGCTAAAAAACGTAGAATGCTAGAGTAGATGACTTAACCGATTATTTGATGAAGTTTTTATTGAATTTCTTATTTTGCTTCCGCTGACAGTGTGAGATATCCTTGCGAATATCTGTACCGTCTAACTTTTCATAATTTGCAATCAATGTCACACTCCTAGACTTTAAATAAAATTTTTCACCGTAAATGTACCACATTTACCATAAGGTATATGCTTTCCGGAAGCTATAATGTGATCAAGGCTGTGTAGTGCCTCGAGTCATCCCTGAAGTCGTCTAAATTTAGTACAGTATGAGTATTTAAGGCCCTGACATTGTACTTTCGCTAAGCGGCATGGCATCCGGATCCCGTTGGTAGACCCTCAGTCCCTCTGTACCGGTGTAATACATTTTCTGTCATAGTATTATGATTCCTTTTAACTTTAGAAAAGGCTCCAGATGCTAAAATATTATATATTACTAACGTACGGAAAAGATGATAGGCTATTTTCTTGGTCTGAAAGGCGTGTCCCAAGGCGGAAATGCAGCCTTCATAGGCTGAAGTACCCTCAAATTTCAGCACAGATAAACTGACTTCAAATCATCACATCTCTACAAAAATTTATTTTCCATAATAATATTTAAAGACGTACATTTTTAGCCCCAAACCCGAAAACTGTTAATTCACTTTCTTCATATGTAATTTAAACTGGAGAAAAAGCCGAGAAACATTCTTAATTTCAACAAAATGATTCAAATAACCGGATTTTAAGCAAAACTTTCTTAAACAAATTTAAGCCTAAAAACTATAGTTTTTATTGAAGAAAATTGTTAGCTTATTACCAAAAAAAAACTTCCTGTAGCGTCCTGTGACTGGCCTGAAAATGAGGGCAGATTATGTGGAGGGCTGGGAGCTGCTGTCATGGCTCGGAGGCCATGCCACCAACCGGACGCACAAATGAAGAGCCTAAGGTTTCGGCAAAACCAAATTGAATAGTTGAATAAATAGTAATGGCATTACACTTTCAGCAATTTCCGCATTATTTTGTGATTTTTAAATTATCAACAATCCGTACCTAATTCCGTAGTTGCATTTGATACAGGGGTACGAAGCAGGTTTGCTGAATTGTTAGACCTAAAATGAGAGGTGTATCTTTGCTAAAGAAAATTTTAGGAAAATTTCTTCTTTACAACTTAGTTTTTGCTATATCTACGTTCTGTTTGGGATTTCCCGGATTGTGGTCGAATATCAAACAGACAGGAAGAAAGGCTAGCTCCACTCTTCGAAGTCCAAAGGCAAAAATCTTTAAAGCCGAGTCAGCTTTTGAACAATAGGCTCTGTAATTACTACCTTATTTGTAAATGCAGATTATATAGCCTCAAGTTTTTTAATTTGGTTGTTAAAATGAGGAATTAAATCAACAATTGAGGAGGACTTTGCGGTTCCACATCATCACTTTTGCTTGTGAACTTAGTTTTATGCTTAAGCTGCTGCTAGTATTTGCTCCGCGACTTCTCTAAAGACGAAAAAATACAATACGAGGACAGAAAACACATTGCTGACGCAAAGAAGGGGTGCGTGGCTACTGTCATGCTCCAGAGGCAATTCCGTTTAGAGAGAGGCACAATGGCGGTGCCTTAAGAACCCACAAACCCAAAACGACGAATTAAACAAAAGCCAAAAATGTTGCGTAGCCTTCCTCTTTTTCTAAGGTTCGCCTTTGCCTTCCCTCGGTCAACCTCCCGCCTTAGCTGGCACGGCGTGGTTGCGGTTGTAAGAAAAACACCCGTAAACCAACCTTGCCATTCATCCAATTCTCGTGCTTCTGAAAACATATTTAAACAAAGCGCCACTGATCGTTCCTAATGATTAGGCTGGATCTGGATTTGATTCATGTATTAAGGAAAGAGAGAGTGTGCTGGGCACCTCGTACTTCCATCGGTAGTCGTTAGCACACTCTCCCCAATACAGAGTCATTTAATAAGAGACGTGGCTTTGAACTGTACCATACGAATAGATTTTTGCGTCTGATCCTGCTTACCATTTTGTTTTCAATCCGATGCTGTTTAGCCACATATCTATCTCGGCTTTATCCATCTGTTAG